CCGCCCGCCTGTCACTCGGGCGCCCGCCCGCCCGCCCGCCCGAACCCCGCCCGCCCGCACCCCGCCCGCGCCCCGCCCGCCCGCGCCCCGCCCGCACCCCCGCCCGCCCGCCGCCCCCGAGCCGAGCCGAGCCCGCCGCCCGCCGCCCGCCGCCGCCGGCCCGGGGATGCGCGCCCCCCGCGCGCGCCCGCCGCACTGCGCGCCCCGGCCCGGCGAGCGCTCCCCGCGGCGGCGGCGACGGCGACGCGGCCCGCAAGTCCCTCGGCCCCTGCCGGCTGCGCGGGCCCCGCCGGGCCCAGGGGCGGCGCGGCCGGGGGGCGCCCTGAGGCGGCGGGGCCCGGAGCGCGGCCAGGTGAGCGCGGGCGGGCGGGGGGCGCGGGCGGGGGGCGCGGGCGGGCGGGGAGCCGGGAGCCGCCCCTCGGCCATTCCGGGCTGCGCGGGCGGCGGGCGCTCAGGACCCGGGCACTCGAGGGCGGCCGGGGCCTGCCGGGGGGCCTGCCGGGGGACCTGCCGGGGGACCTGCGGGGGACCTGCGGGGGGACCTGCGGGGGGACCTGCCGGGGGGACCTGCCGGGGGACCTGCCGGGGGACCTGCGGGGGGACCTGCGGGGGACCTGCCGGGGGACCTGCCGGGGGACCTGCCGGGGGACCTGCGGGGGACCTGCCGGGGGACCTGCCGGGGGACCTGCGGGGGACCTGCCGGGGGACCTGCCGGGGGACCTGCGGGGGACCTGCCGGGGACCTGCCGGGGGACCTGCCGGGGGACCTGCGGGGGACCTGCCTGGCCCCGGCTCCAGCCCCAGCCCCGCTGGCCAGGCGCTCTCGGGGCGCAGAGCCGGAGAAGGTCGTCAGGCCGGGCCGGGAGGCGGGCGGGGCCGGGCCGGGCGCCCTCTCCCCTGCGGCCGGCCGCGGGCACCCGCCTCCTGCGCTCCGCGGCCTCTGGAATAAAGACCCGCTGCAGAGGCAGCGCGGGGGCTGCGGGAGGGGCTGGCACTGCCAGGCTGAATGCCATCAGCCTGCCTCCGCTGATCTGCCCACCTGGGGGGCACCCAGGGTGCCCAGGCCTGGGAGGAGGGTCAGAGTGGACCCCGCGCCCCTCCCCCGGCACCCCCGGAGAGTGGCCCTCCGGCCCCGCTGCAGACTTGCTGGCTTCCGCTGGGCGGTGGGGGTGCTCCGCTGCGGGGGAGGGGGACTCTGGCGCTGCGGCAGGAGGGGCAGTGGGTGGCGGAGCCGGCAGGACGTTGGCAGGACACGTGCAGTCTGGCAGTGGTCCCCTGCATCCTGGGGCCAGGGGAGCTGCTGACCCTGCAGCGGGGCTCCCCTGGTTCTGTCCCTGCCCCCACCGGCTGAGAGGCCTGAGGCTCCAGGGCAGAGGGGGCCGTGTCGCTCCCCCAGGGGCGCCGTCCCTGCCTGCCGGTGCACCCAGGGTCAGCCAGGACCCTCCAGATGGGCGCCCGGGGGGGGGGGCCTGAGAGCTCCTCCAGACCCCCGACTCAAACCCCTCCCACTGCCCTCAGCCTGCGGGCTGCTCCTGCCCGAGGCTGCCTCGGGACAGTGAGAACCTGCAGAGGACGACAGGCGGACAGAGGGTCGAAGCCGCTTCTGCTCCAGGACCCTGCCTGGGCGTCTCTCCTCCCGAGCCAAGGCTGACCCCGGGGCCAGAGGTTTCACCTGCACGGAGGCCTGGGGCGCCACCGCCAGGGTGGCCGGAGCTGAGGGTGCGGGGGTGCCGTGCGTGTGTCCTGCGTGCGCAGCCTGGGGAGAGGCCGGGGGGCAGCCCCATCTCGGGAGGCGCGGGCAGGCCGTGGGCACCGGCTGTTCGGGCAGTGGCCAAGCTGTGTGTTGCACGGGGCCGGGGCCAGCGGCAGGCCCACGGGATAGTGGGTCAGGACACCAGTGGGAGCAGGGACTCCTAGGCCTGCCCGTCAGGACCCCGGCCAGACCCTCCCCCTCCCCCCACCCTCAACCGGAGCTAAGGGCCCGCGGCCTCCCCAGGCCGGGCTGGCTCTGTTGACCTTGCCTTTGGCCCAGCAGAGGCAAGGCAGAGGCCAGTGTGGGTCTTATCGCATGCCCCCGAGCTGAGACGGGAGAAGCGTGAGGCCCTTTGGGGTCCCGGAGGAGACGAGTGGAGGTACAGGAGAGCTGGGCTGTGCGGGCGCTCAGGCACCTGCCTCGCCGTGTGGGTGCTCAGGTCACCACCCTCCAGGCACCCCGCTGGCACTAGCTGTGGCAGCCTGCCTCCCAACTGGCCCAGGGTGCCAAGCTGGACACCCCTCCACGCTGGCGCCCCATTTTCCCCACGTGTCCAGGCATGGCACGCTGAGTGAGGCCAGCCCCCATCCTCGCCTGGGGAAGGGCCCTGCAGCACTGAGCAGAGGTACCTAGGGGCACCGTGGCGGGCAGCGGGCTGCTCCTGGCCAACACATGCTGGGACATAAACAGGGTGATGGGGCCAGGACAGGGGGCACCGGGGTGCAGAGCATGAGGACATGTGCACAGGAGACCAAGGTGCGAAGGGGTGTGTCCAGCCACACCCCCCTACCTGGAAAGGGGGCTGCCCAGCAGGCAGGGAGGGGCCTCCTGCCTTCAGTGGGGACCACCGCCCCCTGGCACTGAGCATTTGCAGGGCCCCTGGGGCGAGCACCCGCCAGCTATGGCAGGGCCGCTGCTGATCGTGGCCCCTCTGGGTCCCCAGGGTGGGGTCTGAGAACCACAAGGTTCTCTTAGTGGGGAGGCCCCAGCTCCCCCCCATCCTGCCCCTCCATGCCCACCTGGCCCCTCACCGGCTGCCGGGGGCACCCTACCCTGGGCTGTGTGAGGCCCGGCTCCACAGCATCTTCAGGAGGTGGGGTGCACCACCGCGCCCCAGGAGCTTGAGGTCCAAGCAGTCCAGGGGTGGGCACAGAGCTCAGGCCGGACCTTGGCCGGGAGCAGGGAGAGAGCTGCAGAGCTGAGCGTGTGCTCGGGCACTGGGGCGCCGCGGGCCCGTGGGTGCAGCACGGGAGGACCCTGCCACCTGGCCGGGACATGGCGCCTAGGGCCGCCCGCTCACTCCTGGGCACCTGCAGGGGCGGAGCGAGGGGGGCTGCTGCCGCAGCGCCCGCTCCTGGCTGCCGCAGCGGTTGCCTGGCACCTCTGCTGTTGCCATGGCAACACGGAGGTGCTAACTTGCTAATGAGTCCCCCTGGCTGCAAATAACAATACCGCAGTGGTTAATGGGCGCACCAGAGGGCTCCTTGGGAGGGGGACGACACGGTGGGGGACCAGGTAGGGCCGAGGAGCCCAGCCGACCGCCCCTCCGCCTCCTGCCCCTGCCCACCCGGCCAGGCGGCGGCTCTCCCCGCGCTCCCCTCCGGCCCTGGCTTCCCTGTTGGGCTCCCCCGCCCCTCCACCCTTTCTGCGGCCACCGCCGCATTTGTGGAGAGGGCGCCAACCCAGGCCCTCCCCTGCAGTGGTGGTGCCCGCAGGCGCCCCTCCCTCCCTGCCCCCCACCGTGCTGGAGCCCCCGTGCTCTGAGCCCTCGCCTGCACAGGCCCCTCGGGCACCCCCGGCTGGGGCTGCACTTGAGAAGTGCCTGGAGGTCCTGGTGGTTCACGGCCTGACAAACGTCAGGGGAGAGCCAGGATTCCCCAAAACAGCTTGTACAGAAATTGAATTGGGGGCCCCTCAGCAAGCAGGCAGGCAGGACTCCCCTTAGACAGAGCCCCAGGCGGCGGCCTTCGCCCCTCCAGGCAGCTCTTCAATTGAACCCTCCCGCTGTGCCCTCAGGAGGGGCAGCTGCCCTGGCTGCACACCAGCATCCTGCCCCCAGAGGTGCCGCTGGGGGGGTCTCTGTGCGCCCCCACACATGCCTCTCGGGGGCCCCCAGGTGCAGGGCAGCATGCAGGCCCAGAGTGCCTCCCCGATGCCCATGTAGCCGAGGTGGGAGCTCACCGGGAGCGTGGCGGGGCATGGTGGGAGACACCTGAGGAGGCAGCCCGCAGCCTGGGCTTCGGGCCAGGCTCCTTGGGGTGACCTTGGCCTGGTCCACCCTCCCTGACTCTAAAGCAGCCATATTTCCTGACGCCGCGGACTCCCCAAGGCTGTGGGGCCTGCGTGGCTTGCAAGAAAGGCCTGTTCTGGCCAGCGACAGGATAGGTGACCCCGGGGGGGGGCCGCAGAGGTCACCCCCCACCCCCCATGGGCTTGCTCAGGCTTCCCTGCTCATTCCCCAGCCTCCGCGCAAGGGCCCTGGAGGTCGGGCCAGGTCTAGCAGCCCAGAGCCCTAGGTGTGGCCCCCACCCTGGCCCTGGTCCTTGGGCTGAGCTCCCCCTGCCTGCAGCTGGCCCCAGCTGGGCCTGCACCGACCAGGACGCGGCTCTGCCAGGCAGGCGGCTACCAGTGCGCAGGGCCTGCGAGGGCCCACAGGGTGGGGGGGGCCTCCCGCGCCCCCAGGCCCTGCCCTGGCCGCTGCTCCAGGGCCCCTGGACATAGGGAGGCAGCCCTGACCAACTGTCCCTCTGTGGTGCCCTGTCCACCCGCCGCAGTCGGGATGACCCGCTTACGGCAGGGCTCTGCGGGGCGAGGGGGTGGCGGGAGAGGGGCAGGGGCTTGGCGGGGAGGGCAGGTTCCCGCCCACCTTATGAGGGGCCAGAGGCGGCGGTCAGTGGCCTGAGGAGGGGACGTCCGTGACCCCGGGAAAGGGCGGCATGTTCCAGAACGAGGGAGGGTCCGCGGTGCCTGTGCGTCCACCCGCGCCTGCTCGCTCTGCGGTCCCCAGTAGCGGGCAGGTGACCGGCCCTCCAGCTCAGGGGCCGCACTCCGGCTTGCCCCTGAGATGGGGGTGACTTCACTCAAGAGCCAAAGGGACGCCGATGGCCCAGAGGGAGGCAGCCCCAGGCGGGGGTCAGGGTCCCCACTGCAGGGCCCGGCCTGGGCGGCAGCAGCAGCGCTGACCAGCACCCCTCTCCCCGCCCGCAGGTCTAGCGCCATGCCCAGTCCCTCAGCGCTGTAGGCCGCGTCTCGCCAGGGGCCACCCCCTCCCCGCCGCCACTGCCCCACCATGGCCGGAGACCGGCTCCCTCGGAAGGTGATGGATGCCAAGAAGCTGGCCAGCCTGCTGCGGGGCGGGCCCGGGGGGCCGCTGGTCATCGACAGCCGCCCCTTCGTGGAGTACGACAGCTGGCACGTGCTCAGCTCCGTCAACATCTGCTGCTCCAAGCTGGTGAAGCGCAGGCTGCAGCAGGGCGCCGTGACCATCGCGGAGCTCGTCCAGCCGGCCGCACGCACCAAGGTACACGCCCCCGCCCGCCCCGCAGCAGGCCCCGACCCCGGCCCGGCGCGAGGCCCTGGGCCAGCCCACCCTGGGGCCTGGTGGGCTGCCCTGCCCCTCTGCTCCCCACTGGAGAGGCGGGAACACCCTCCCCGGGGGCCCTCGCTGACACCTGCTCCTTCCCATGCCTCTACCCTGTCGGGGTCCTCACCCAGCCCCCAGGAGGTCTCCACACGCCAAGCAGGGATGTGGCCTGGCCCCTCCTGGGGCTCCCCGGCCGGCGGCTCGGTGGGTGCTACTGCGGGGCGGGGCAAGGCGGGGCGGGGCAGACAGCCAGCCATACCCTCGGCGAGGGAGGGTTCCCCGGGAGAGGGCGGTCAGGGCACCGGCCCGGCCTCTCCTCTTGGGTCGCGAGTGACCCAGAGTGCTCTCTGGCCCCCAGGAATGTCTCAGCCACCACTGTGGACGGTCCTGTCACCGCTCCTGGGAGCAGCAAGTCCAGTTACGGGGCCCATTTAGCCAGTGCCCAGGCAGACAGTGGCACCTGGGGGTGGCGTGCCAGGCCGTCTACAGACTGCGGGATGGTCTCAGGCCCAGGCTCTGCCCCCGAAGAGCTGGGATGCGAGAGGGCCCAGGTGGATCCGCCTTGGGGGTATCCCCTGCCCGAGGCCAGCACTGGCTCCCGCAGCCACAGCCTCCAAGGAGGGGAACCCAGTGATTAATCACCCCGCAGGACTCCGGGCCAGAGCGCGATGCCATCGGCTGCTGGTGATATCAGCGCCCCGGCTGGCGCTCAGCTGGCCTGAGGCTGTGTGGGGGGCGGGGCGCCTCCGGGCCCGGCTGGGCCAGCACATCTGGCCGGTAGAGGGGTCCCCCGTCCCACTTGGACACCTGCAGTTTCCCCATCACTGGCACAGAGCGCAAGGGCCCCAGCCAGAGGCACCGCGATGGGCAGTGTCTGTTGCCAGGGCCGCCCTGGGAGTGTCCCTGAATGGGCGCCCGTGTGGCCCCTGGGGCCTGTTCCACCCCTGCGGCCAGGGAGTGTCCTCGGTCCTGTCCAGGTACGGGTGGGGAGCGGGTGACCACTGGCCTCACCCTGACCGCTGGCCTCACGGTCCCCAGGTGGAGGCCACGGAGCCGCAGGACGTGGTGGTCTATGACCAGAGCACACGGGATGCCAGCGTGCTGGCCGCGGACAGCTTCCTCTCCATCCTGCTGAGCAAGCTGGACGGCTGCTTCCACAGCGTGGCCATCCTCACAGGTGCGTCCTGCCTCTGTCATGGGGCTGAGGGGCTGGGAGGAGCTGGGCTCCGGCCCAGGCCAGCGTCTGCCTGGACGGGGGGGTCTCGGCTACTGGGGCCCACTGTCCCGCTGCCTGGGCCCTCACATTTCAGGAACCCTCCAATGGGACCCACCCCACCAGGAGCAGGTGCAGGGGTGGCGGGGGACACGTGTCCCTGGAAGCCAAGAGCGACCGCTCAGAGTCCCTCACTCGGCAGCATCCAGCCCTGCTGGGAGGGCCCCTGGTGCTGCTGTGTGGGGTGCCTGCAGAGGCTCCCCCCGGCTCCCCACCCCAAAACCAGTCCAGCCAGCCTGGAGGCGGGGACACCCCAGGCACCCGCAGAGCCTCCCCACAGGTGGTGACTGAGGGGGCATCTGTGGAGCCTCCCAGCCAAGGTGGCAGGGTCTCGGGCCCTGGAGCTGCCTCCCGCCCAGGCCAATGAGCGGTGCCCCGGGCCCTGGTCTGTGCGCGGGGCTGTGGCGGGGGCGCGCACGCACAACAGGCCTTGGCCGCGCACCTGCCTGAACTCCCACCAGCAGCACGGCGGGTGCACTCCGGCGCCCGCTCTCTGCGCCCTGGGCCTGCGCCCTGGGCCTGCACCGCGACCCACCAGGGTCGGTCGTGGGCTGAGCTGCCCGGGGGAGATGGGTGTGCGTGAACCCGGGGTCCCGAAGCCAGGAGCGCAGGCCCTCTGACCAGAGCCGGGAGAGGGTACGCTCCCTGCCTGGCCGTGCAGGCCCGCGTGGGGCCCCTCCGGCAGGCACGAAGCCCTGTGCCCCGGCTTTGTCTCGCAGCAGGGCAGGCGTGGCTGGGGTGGGCGGGAGGAGGGCGCTTCTGGGCCTAACTGCCAGCTCCGGGCCCTGGGGCGCCCACTCCGGCCCCCTCCTGACTTGGCCCACAGCGCCCACCAGTAATGAGCACCTTCCCCGCTCCACATGGCTCTTCCCAAGCCTGCGAGGACAGGGTGACGTGAGGAGAGGGGTGCTCCCCCCAGGGAGGACAGATGGGCCCCTCCTTGGGGGTGCAGAGTCCAGATGAGGGCGACGCACCTGGAGGGGAGGAATGCGCCCCTCCCAGGCAGCTGTGAGCCCCCCAACTGCAGGGCCAAGCAACTATGGGGTGCCGGCCAGAGGGGAGCCTGTGCCTTTAAGGGCCCAGTGGCTGCAGCCCCTGACCGCTGGGGTCCTGCTGCGGGACAGGTGTGGTCCGCGCCGACCCAAAGCCCAGCAGGGAGGTGGGGACTGGAGGACAGTGGGGGAGCAGGGTGCTGCCCTCGAGGGGTGGAGGGGGCTCTGCTGGCCCCAGCGCTCCCTTGTGTGGAGTCTGGACAGAGGAGAGAGGGGTGCCCTCTGACGCTAGATGCAGAGCAGGCAGGGCTGGGGGCCCTTCCTGAGCAGAGGCACCTCTCGGGCACCTTGGAGGCAGGGGTCCCCCGCCAGAGGACGTGCGGTTCTAGAGCCCGTGCAGACTGAGCTGCCGCCCAGGGGCTCCGGTCAGGGGCCCCCGCCCCCATGGCTAGCCGCTGCAGAGGGCCTGGGAAGGGGGGGCCCCCTGGGTGGGGGCTCTGGAGAGATGGCCCAGGCCCTGCTCCCCAGGGCTACCCCCAGGGGCCGCCGGGAGAGCCCTGGCTCTGCCCTGTGTGGGCTGGATGGGCCAAGCCCAGCAAAGCCTCCTTGGGGTGCCACAGCCTTGGCCCCTCCCTGCCCCAAAAGCTGGTTCCCCTTCTCCAAGGCTTGTGCCCAGCCCAGAGGGCCCCTCTTCTGTGGCCCCGGTGCCAAGCCTCTGTGGGGCGGGGCGTGCACACCACAGCGTTCTGCTTGGGATCTGCGCAGGCTGGCCGCTGGGCAGGCCGGGGCTGGAGACCGAGGCCCCCAGGAAGCACCAGGTCCCAGCGCAGCCTGCTCGGCAGACCTGGGGCGGGGGAGCAGGCCTGGGCTGGCCTGAGCCCCTGTCTCTTTCCTCAGCCGCCTATGTGGGGCTCAGTTGTCTGTGGACCCAGAGACCCACTGGGGAGCAGCAGCCCCCAGGCTTGGGCGGGGACTCTGCAGGGGGACTTGTGCCCCCAAGGTGGCCAGCCCCAGGTGCTGCTAGGCGGCCCTATGGAGGGCCGGCAGCCACTGGGCGCCAGGGGGTCAGAGGTGACCCCGGCAGCCCGTTGTCCCCCGGCTGCACAGGGAATTCCCGGGGCCGCGTGGCGGGCAGGGTGAGGACACCGCAGCTGAGGCCCAGCTCTGCAGGTAGTCGCTCTCCAGCGAGATTCGGCCTGAGGCCCGCCTGGCGGGAGGTGGCCCTGTGTCCACCTGTGGCCGTGGCCTTGGCTGTGGGGAGGCAGCAACCACATGCCCGCCACGTGCCCATGCACCCCGCCCCAGGGCCCCCCAGTGCGGCCCCTCTGCACCTCCATCTTCTGCCGGCGGGCCTGGCCTCACACAGCACTGTGCCCTGCCGGCCACGCCGGTTCCAGGATGACGTCATGTCGGGGGGGGCCCTCAGAAGCCCGTGCGGGCCGGCCCCTAGGCGGGGAGGGCTGGCCCATCCGGGAGAGGCGGCCTGGCCAGCCACGTGTGGGGGACGCTGCTCCCAGGCCTTGTGGTCATGGCAGGAGCCCCCGGGCCCCGAGCCGGGCCTATACGTGGCCGTGCTGGCTGGCGACCTGGAGCCCAGGTTTATGGGCATCGCAGCAGCGTCCTGGGGCTGGCCCCTAATTAGCCGGCGGGCTGTGGGTGTGGTGCAGGCCGGAAAGGCAGAGCGCCGGCCCCCACCGCCCGCTGTGCAGGCAGAGGCTCCAGCCGGCAGCAGGCTGGGTGGGGTAGGGTGGCCCCCCGGAGGGAGCCCAGGGTCCCCGCCTGCCCCCGCCACCCACCGTGCCTGTCCTGTGCTCCCTCTGCAGGGGGCTTCGCCACCTTCTCCTCCTGCTTCCCTGGCCTCTGCGAGGGCAAGCCCGCTGCCCTGCTGCCCATGAGCCTCTCCCAGCCCTGCCTGCCCGCGCCCAGCGTGGGCCTCACGCGCATCCTGCCGCACCTGTACCTGGGCTCGCAGAAGGATGTCCTGAACAAGGTGTGTGCGGGCTGGGGGCAGGTGGGGGGCGGCGGGGCCCTGGGCAGAGCCGGCTGGGGGCAGGGCCGGCAGGCCCCGGGGGAGGAGGGCGCCCTGCCTGCGCCTGGAGCACATGCCAGGAGGGTGATGTCACTGGGCCCCTGGCCAGCCTGAAAGAATCCCCTGTTGTAAAAATGGTGACTAGGGAACAGGGTGAGCCGCCACCCAGGGATGTGAAATTCCTGGGAGCGACCGACCACGGGCGGTGGGCGGGGCCCGGCCCCCCCCCCAGCAGCCTTCTGTGGGGAGCCGGGGCGGGGCTCCGGCCCCCCCCAACCTCCTGTCCCTGCCCCCTGCCCACCCCACTCCTGCCCCAGGACCTGATGACACGGAACGGCATAAGCTACGTCCTCAACGCCAGCAACTCCTGCCCCAAGCCGGACTTCATCTGCGAGAGCCGCTTCATGCGCGTCCCCATCAACGACAGCTACTGTGAGAAGCTGCTGCCCTGGCTGGACAGGTCCATCGAGTTCATCGGTGAGCGGGCGGGCGCGTGGGGGGAGAGGCGGGGAGGGCTGGCGCGGGGGCCGCTGCGCCCCGAGCGGGACCGTGGGCAGCAGCAGCCCTCACCCGGCCCACGCCCGCCCCTAGATAAAGCCAAGCTGTCCAGCTGCCAGGTCATCGTCCACTGTCTGGCCGGCATCTCCCGCTCCGCCACCATCGCCATCGCCTACATCATGAAGACCATGGGCATGTCCTCCGACGACGCCTACAGGTGGGCGTCCCCGCCCCCCAGCCGGGGGAGCCCTGCCCCCGCCCCGCGCGCCCAGGGCGGCCGGTGGGCGCGGCGGGCGGCCGGGGCCAGGGGACGCCCAGTCCGACCGAGCTGCCTGTCCCCAGGTTCGTGAAGGACCGGCGCCCGTCCATCTCGCCCAACTTCAACTTCCTGGGCCAGCTGCTGGAGTACGAGCGCAGCCTGAAGCTGCTGGCCGCCCTGCAGGGCGAGGGCGGCCCCCGCCCCGGAACCCCCGAGCCCCTCCTGGGCCCCGCGGCCCCACTGCCACCCCTGCCACCACCTACCTCAGAGAGCGCCGCCACCGGGAGCTCGGCGGCCACCGCGGCCAGCGCGGGCGGGGAGGCCCCGGCCCCGGCCCCCGCCCCGGCCACCAGCGCGCTGCAGCAGGGCCTGCGCGGCCTGCACCTGTCCTCCGACCGCCTCCAGGACACCAACCGCCTCAAGCGCTCCTTCTCCCTGGACATCAAGTCGGCCTACGCGCCCAGCCGGCAGCCCCACGACCCCGGCGCCCCCGACCCGGCCGAGGCGCCCAAGCTCTGCAAGCTGGACAGCCCTTCGGGGGGCGCGGTGGGCCTGCCCTCGCCCGGCGCCGACAGCCCCGAGGCGGCCCCGGAGACCCAGACCCGGCCGCGGCTCCGCCGGCGGCCCCGGCCTCCCGCCGGCTCCCCCGCGCGCGCCCCGGCGCCCGGCCCGGGCCTGAACCTCGCCGACGCCGCGCGGCAGACTCCGCGGCACGGCCTCTCGGCCCTGTCGGCGCCCGCGCTGCCCGGCCCGGGCCAGCCCGCCGGCCCCGGGGCCTGGGCGCCGCCGCTGGACTCCCCGGGCACGCCCTCGCCCGACGGCCCCTGGAGCTGCAGCCCCGAGGGCGCGCAGGGCCCGGGCGGCGCGCAGGACGCGGGGGGCGCGCGGCTCGCACCCCTCGGCCGGGCGGGCGGCGCGCGGCGGCGGCGGGAGGCGCTGCGGGCCGAGGCCCTGGACGCGCGGCCCGGCTGGCCCGACGGGCCGGCCCCGGAGACGCAGCTGCAGCGCCGCTGCCAGCGGGAGTTCGAGGAGGGGCGCGCGGGCGGCGAGGAGCGGGCCGGGCTGGGCGCGCCGGCGGGCGCCGAGGCCATCCGCGTGTCCTGACGCCCGGCCCGGGGACCCCCCCCACCCCCCGCCCCGCGGCCCAGAGGGCGCGCCCCGCCGCGAGGCTCCCCAGGAGCAGACCCGGTTTTGTATTTATCGAGGCCGCGGCGGGGCCGCCCTCGCCCCCACCCCGCGGCCGCAGCCGACCCGAGTCTAAGCAATACGCGGCCGAGGCCGCCTCCAGTCTCAGGCTGGGGCGCCAGGCCTGGGGGGCCCCGCCCCCAGGAAGCACTGCTGAGGGCTGCGCAGAGGCTGCCCGGCTTTCCTGCACTTTTTACATAAGAAAAAGGAGAAAAAGGAAAAAAATCCTTTGCCACAAGCTGAGCCGCCCCCCCACCCCCCTGCTCCTGTCCGGGCCCCACGGGCGTGTCCCCCCAGCCGGGGTGTGGTGGGGCGCAGCCGCCGGGCTGCCCAGGCGGTCCCGGCTGGGTGTAGAACAGGGTAGGCCTCGGGAGGGCCCGCGCCGAGCTGGGATGGAACCCCGCCTGGCCCCACCGTGTGGGCGCCCTGGGGCCCAGCCCGCCTGCAGCCCCCACCCCGGCCGGCGCAGCTGGGGTGACCCCTCGTCCAGGTCTCCCGCGCCCGCGCAGGTTGGAACTCAGGCCCGGTCCTCAGGCCCAGGGGCTTCCGGGAGGGGCGCTCTTTGCAGGGCCGGGGGCGGAAGCCCTCACCCTTTTGCTTCCAGGGCCTTAGCTCCGGGAGAGCCTCCTCCAGGCGGAGGGAGACCCTGACATGAGCAGACCCTGCAGGTGCCCCCATGTCTCTGCCCCCCATGGGGTCTCCTAGGAGAGTCCCCCCCACACCTCTTTCCCAGGGGAACTCCCTCCTCGGAGTCTCCCCGCATCCTTAAGGCGATAGTCCCCACTCCGGGCGCGGCCGGCCCTGCTGGGCGTGGCGAGCAGGAGGAAAGCCTCAGCTGCCCCCACTGCCCCGGACCACCGAGCCTTTGGCAGCGGGAGAAGGTAGGTGTCCAGCTTAGCTGCCCAGAGGCCGGGGGACCGTCCCCTCCGAAGAGCTCGGGCTTGGCATCTGGGGTGCCCAGGACTGAGTCATGGGGCGGCCGGGAGTGGGGGCTGCCCCAGCGCCTGGGTCTGGTTCTTCTCTCTGTTTTTTTCCTCCACAATCTTCTGTCCCTGTCAACCCTCCTTTAAGCAAAGTCCTGCTCCGCCCCTTCTGTCCTGACCCTGTTGCCCAGAAAATAAGCTATCATTGTTGTATTTGCAATCTATGGATTAGAGGTTTAAGTATTTATTATTGGTTAATTATTATTATTATTATTATTATTATTGATTATGTAAATCTGCCTCCTGTCTGTCTTGTTGGGTTTCGGAGGTGACCCTAGGTGTGGAGGATGCACTGCTCCCGCCTCCGCCCCCACCTCATGCTGTCCAGGAGACGGTCGGGGCCGCTGGCTGGGCCCCAGAACTCTGCAGGCAGGTCGCACGCCCTCCCCCCTCCTCAGGGCTGCCGGCACCTCACGTGGCTTCTGTCCTGGAGTGTGGGGGGCCCACCCAAAGCGAGCTGCTGAGATGGGGCAGAGGCCCTGGTTTGGCCTTTTCTGCGCTGGGGGACCGGGACCACTTGCACCCACTGTCCCCTCCTGCCCCTCCCGCCAGGCCAGTGCCCTGGCATTGGGGGTCATCCCCAGAATGGACCCAGCCCCCTCCTATTATTTGCTGGAAAGTCCAGCGAAGGAGAGGGCAGGGCCCGTGCGGCCCCGGTCCAGCCGGACCCGGCCGCCTGCTGCCCCTGCAGCCCCCGCACAGCCCCCACCTGTCCCGCCTCCTTTTGTATTTGGAAGCAACGTGTTGTAATAAACCCGAGATGGTGTTTTCTCCCCGTCTCTGGCTGCATCTTTCTTGGGCTGGTCGGGGACGGGTTGGCCTGGGGGGTGCCAGGGCTGGCTCTTGGCCCCTCAGATGGGCTGAGCCACAGGCCAGGTGGGGCGGGGTGCAGGTCCCCCACGTGCCTCTGCTGTCTTGGACTGGCAAAGTCACAGCCTGGACCTCGGGAATGGACGCGGCCCAGCCTCGGTCCGCCAGCCCTTGGCGGGAGGGAGCACGTGCTGGAATGGCCCCAGGCTCCGGCAGGCCTGGTGTGTGAGCGCCGCACATGCGTGTGCACATGCAGCAGCATCTATGCAGTAGAGCAGGGGCTGGCAGCCTCTCTGCGGCTGGCTCTTAGATGCCACTCTGGCCCAGGCCCGGGCCTGGCTTGGACGGAGCAAAGGCACAGGCGCCCCGGCGGACTGGGGCTGCAGGGCGCGCAGGTAGCCCTGCCAGGGAGGGGTGTTCTCCGCGGCCTTCCACGGGGTCTGAGCCGTAGTAGTTTCCTGGTGGCTGAGAGTCTCAGGTCACCATGACGAGGGCCCCAGCATCCCCAGACTAAGCGGTGCTGTCATCGCCTGGTGCTTTCCGGACGCCAGCTCCCACAGACGCAGCCCTGATGCCCCCCACCGTCCCGTCCAGTATGAGGCCTGCAGGGTCTGCCCCCCACCCAGGGCAGGAGGCTGCCCAGGGCCTGCGCTGGGCCTGGTGGGGAGCGCACGGGCCACCGGCCCTCCCCGGGGGAGTGGGCGCCTTGAGCCTGCATCCTTAAGCGGCTGAGCGGGGAGCAGGGTCTATCTGGAGCCAGGCTATTTTTAGCTCAGGAACATCTATTTATAACTCTGGCAGCCCCTCCGAGTCAGCGGATCCAGGACTGGGAGGAGGCTGGTGGCATCTCCGCAGCACCCCAGCCTCCCAGCCACTGCTGGGGGCAGCACCGGTGACGCGCGGCGGAGGGCCTTGGCCTCGGGCCCTGGGCAACATGAGACCCCCAAGCCCTACGTCAACCTCGACAGTCCCGGGAGGAGGCCAGAGCTGAGGGCCGGGCAGCTAACCCCCCACCTACACCCCCAGACCCCAGCTGGGGGGTTGCGCTTGGTGGGGGGGGGAGGCTGTTTCACTTCAATGCCTGGGGCACTCGGCTGGGCTGCACTGTCTGCGGGAGCCCCCAGAAGCCCCACCGACCGTGGCCCATGTGGCCACATCAGCCCTTGGGTCTTTTTTTTTTTAAGATTTATTTATTTATGCATATAAGAACTGGGGTGCAGGCCAGAGGTGTGGGGGTGAGAGGACTCCCCAGAGAGAGTGGGGAGCAGAACAGGTGGATCCACTGAAACACACTGCTGAGGGGGGCAGCAGGGAGACGGGAGGGGTCTGCTGCGCCCTGTGGGCAGCTCCCTGGCCGGGGTCCGAACTTGTGCTGCAGAGCCTGCCTACGGCTTGATAGAACTGAGACTGAACCCCTGCGCCCCCAGGGAGGCCCAGCCCTTGTGGTTCTTGCTGTGAGTACAAGTTGCACCCCCAGCACAACCAGCAGGGGCTGTGAAAACCCCAAGAGTGTTCATCACAGCAGGCCCTGGGGGCACTGGGGTTCGGCCTTGACTAGGGTTCTGAGAGCGCCTCTTTATTGGGAAAATGAAAACATGCAGCAGGAATCGCAGCGCAGGGGGAGGGGCGCCAGCCCAGCTGATTATCTGGGTCACCTGGGCTGTGGAAGGGGGGCGGGGGCGGGCTCCTCACCCAGCTGGAGGCTGACTGGCGGTAGATGCCTCGGGGCCCACAGCTTGCAGTCCTGCTCCAGCCAGAATGCTGGGGTCAGCCGCCCCCTGCAGGGAGGGCGGGTGGGGCGCTAAGGGGACGCAGGTGGGGGGTGGCTGCTGGGGTGGGTGGGCGTTTGGAGGGATGGGTGGGTGGTGGACAGAGGTGGGGCAGGCAGGCTGCGGGAGGGCGGCGGTGAGGGCGCACAGTCAGCTGCTCCCGGGAGGCTGCGCGGGGCCCCGCTCTCCCTCGCCCGGGCCGGCCCTGGGTCCTGGCACACAGCTAGTGCCGCGAGGGCTCAGCAGGTGAGCTCCGTGCAGACAGGCTCAGAGCCAGGGTGCCCAGGGCCCCAACCCACCCCTTTCTAGGCCCAGTGCCAGGGAGGAGGGCAGAGTTGGGGGGGCAGGCTCACTTTCCTGCCCACCTGAGCCGGGCGGGTCCTGGAAGGGCCCCCAGCTTCTCACAGGCCCTGAGGCTGAAGGAGAGGCCTGGCCCTGAGGACTGACAAGCTGGGGGAGGGGGGGACCAGATGAGGCCCAGAAGTCGCTCAGGGAGGGCGGGGTGGGAGGAGAGGACTCCCCCAAAGTGAGCAGGGCCTTCATTCTGGACCCTGCAGGGGCCCAGGGGTGCTGCCAGCGTCCCCCATGGTGGAACTCGTCCTCGCCCCAGGGCGGGGCGGCCCAGCGGGGTTCCTGGAGGTGCCCACCCACCCCCTCCCTGCTTGAAGGAGGCGAGCGCTGAGCCCCCCAGCCCCGCGAGGACAGACACACACCTGCGGCCACCCTTCCCGCAGGCAGGTGGCGGCCTGGGCCTGGGTGGCCCCGTGGCCCCAGACCTCGCTGTAAATAACCAAGTGGGGAGTGGAGGTGGGGGAGGGCGCAGGGAGGGGCTGGGGCCAGAGAAGCGCCCGGGGGAGCCCCCCGAAGCCGAGGGGCAGGCAGAGCCCATTCCGGGCTGCGCTGGCCACGGGTGCCCCTCGGGCTGCCCCCAGTCGGGGGCTGCGGGGACAGCAGGGAGGGGCCGGCTCCCCCACGGTCCTCGGCCGCCCGCAGCGGGGGCTCCCCTGCCGGACACGCCTTCCCGGAGGCTGCTGAGAGCCGCGGGGCTCCGCGCACCCAGGGGGAGCCGGCGGGCAGCAGGGGGCCCGGGCCCGCGCGTTGCCGGCCTCGCCTCGTGGAGCCGCCGGCCAGGCCCGGCCCCCGCCCGGGCGCGCTGAGGCCGGCGCCCCTCTTCCTGCCCGGGCCGCCCCTCCTCCTCCCGCTGGCCGCGGGGGCCGGCACCTGGCCCCGGGCTGGACAACCTCGTCCTGCGGGGCTCAGCCCGCGGCCGACCGGGGCGAAGGAGACGCCCAGGGCCGCCCCCCCCCCCGCGGCGGCCCCGCGCTCCCGCCCCGCCCAGGCCCCGCGGGGAGGCCCCC